CTTTCTGCTCTAAATTGGGCATCAAATGAAAAAAAAAAAAATGAGTATGATAGTAATTCATAAAACTACTACCATTAACATTCTAAACAATTTTCTGGTTGTAGAATTGGAACGATCGTAGCTGTGAAATAGGTTAAAGCATAAATTTCTTTTACAATATATATGTATATAGTGTATCGACATGCATTTCGGCATCAAATCCAATTGCTCGAATATTATGATTGTTAATCCTATATTTAATCTCCATGGTTGCAATATGAAGGAAATTTAATTAAACTGCAACTAAACTGTGTTATGATGTAGCATGCTTTATGCGCTGTAAATTCTCAAATAGAGAAAGATTCGGAGTTCAAGCTTAATCGCACTGAAAGGATGTACAGTGAGTGAAAAGATTGAAATTAGGCATTTTCAAATCTTATTATTAAATTTCCAAGCATCTCATAATTATTATAGTTCTAGTGCGAAACCGTTATAATTCTGTATTCAATAAATGTGCTTTTTAACTGGTTTCTAACAACAGCAAAGCCTTAGCTATAACTTCATAAATTCATCATAACCTGAAAATGCTTTGTATACAGTTAAAGACTTATTGGTTATATTACTCTTCTTCCCAAATTCATCACTTAATGGATACAAGAAACACAACAAAAATCATTGCAGTCCGAATGTTGATTCATCTGATTGCACTTTGTCGGAAAGCGTTGGTTCATCTCCCTTAACTTCTTGTTGCTGCAAATAGATTCAGATTCCAGTAATAAGAAACAGGCGCTAACATAAAATTGAAACTCATTTCTATTTCTAATTATTGTTCATTTTCTATATTTATTATGCTATTACTCATTTCACTTTTTTAAAAGATTCTGAAATGTATGGTTCATAATAGTAAAATATGGAATAAGTTTGCTGTTATTTTATTCTACTTCTAACGATGGTGGAGCAAAAGCAATCAAATGGCAACACATATTACACTTTAGGAAGTCTTTTTCAGTAAAATTTTCAGGGCGAAATGCAGGATCGCAGTTTTTTCCTTAAGATGCTTCTATTGAAAATGGAAATCTGTATTATGTTGTAATGTGATGTGTTTAGAAAAAGTGAAACGAACTCGGAAAATTTTATTATTTATCAGCTTTGATGCTTATTGCTCGTATGAATCAATTCTTTATGTCTGGTTATATGAAGTTTGGAAAATTTATAAAATGGAATTACCTGGTTAATATACACTTGAGATATTTTTCGTCTTGTTCGTGAGGCGATGCAATCCATTGATAACGAACTGGGCAAAACTTCTTTCACTTGAGATTCTGAGGACGACTCTGTTGTTAAATTCAACGTTGAGTTGGATGGATATCCATTACATGTTTTTTCAGCATTTCTGAGATAGCGACAAATTAATATCCAAAAATCTTAATACCTGATTGCTTTTCAAATTTGATCTGAATAATCATAAATTTGAAGGAAAAAAAAAGTTTTCGAACAATTGTTAGAATTAAAAGTACTTCCATTCGTGATATGACAGTGCAAAATTATCATCCTGAAAAAAATTAACATGCAAAGTGTCAAATTCCTACTCTAAATTTTAATAAAAATACGTGAGAAATTTACCTTGATTTCTCAGAAGCAATTTGACGCACTGCTTTTTCCAAGTTGGTAAAAACATGTGTTGGCAAATTCCTCAGTTTTTCTAGTACGATATCGAACTTTACTCTTAAATCCAAAATCATTTTATCCTGAAATGAATGTGATTGATATGCAAATAAATTTAAATGAAAATAAACTGATGTTGTAAAGCTTACTGCAGTTTCCAAAGAAGATGGTTTATCAATTTTAGGAACACTAGTTTCTGGGAAAACATCAATTTTCGGACTTCGAAAATCAACGCTTTCATCAAACCTAACGGTTTTCCCTGAAAAATAATTTTATATAATATTTCCATTTATTAGTCATGCAATAATATCTACCTTCGATATAAAATTAAAAAATATTCAGTTCTAAAGAAATCTAGAAATTTAGGCAGCAAAAACCAACTGGTGTTCTTTTTGACATCATAACAGATGAAGACGGTGTAACTAAAATAGACGTCGAATCAACTTTTGTCGAAATGATCGGTTCCATAGACAATGATCGAGCAGTCAACGCAGTCAATGACAAAGGTTTAGCAAATTTCATGGCAGCCGTGTCCAAAGGATTTATTCCATTAGGAAATAATGATGGTCGTTCACGGCCACGCTAAATGAAAAAAAAAAAGTATATTGATCAGAATATTAATTTTCAACACAGTTAAAAAAATTAATGACTAATTTTTTAGAGAATGACTAATTTCTGAAACCATTATTCTGAATTGGAAATAGAACTGCTTTATGGAGTTCGAGTATATAAATGTCTAAACTAAGTAGAACTGAAATAACTTAAATAAGATGAACACTCAAATAGATGAAAATAACTTACAAAGATGGAGGCTCTTCCAGAAATTGAATTCTGAGGACATCTGTTTAAAATACTTGTCAGTGCGGCATCATCACGCTCAAATATTTCATTGATTGGTTTCAGAGGCGCTTTTGCAAAACATGACTTTGATTCGCATTTTGCATCTGAATGCTGAAAATTATTTCTTCCATGAATCATGACGTTAAAATAGATAACTAACAAATACCAAAAAACTCAATTCTGACAAATTCTTTCCAAAGAGTTAAATATCAAAATTTTTTAAAAAATTTACGCCTGGGTAGAAATAAATGTGGAAGATTCAAACTGAAATAATTACATTAAGGATGTCTTTGCAAATCGCTTTTTGACTGCTAGATGTTTCAGCTATTTGTTTGTTTCTTGACGAAATGCGTTGTAATTTCAAAGACGCTAAGGAATTCTTGCGTGATCCAATTTTAATACTTGACCCTGGGACTGTCTGCAAAACTCAAATACAGGGCAACCTTTCACAAAATTCTATGTTTAATATTATATTTTATCCAACTACTTAAAGCATGATAATAATAACCTTGATGCTAAGTTTCATAAAATGAGCTCCTGTCGAATAGTCTGTCTTGATTTTCCGATTCTGCGCCCTGGAAAATTGCTAGCATGCTTTATAAAGACACATTTCTTAATCGTCCTGTTTTGTGACAAAACTCTAAGCTTTGGAAATGCTCAAGTTTAGATAATATCAGAACAGTCCGAATGCTAAGCCTGTGAATTTGCAGAAGTTAATTTTCTGCATTAAAAACTTTCTTTTGATAATGCACAAAAACTTGATTATTGTTATTTTACATTGTCCATAACTTTAATACACAGAGACGTAGATAAGAATTTGAGCTTGCTGCATACATCTGTGATTAGCCTGAAAATGTTAATTACAAATGCTATATCTGACATAAGCTTACGCATATTTCGTGCCAGCTTCAATCATCCTTTTCCGTTTCTCGGCAGCTGTAAGTTCTTTAGATATTCCGCCATCGTTTATTTTTCGCAATGTTGAAGTCCGATGTTTGCTGGAATTCACTGAGAAATGGTATAAAGCCCACAAATTTTCCTACTACTCTTAACCACTCACCTGCCCCGCATCCCACTAAATGTAACCATACAGGAAAACCAAAAACCATTCTATGACTGTTAAAAACCAAAACTATCATAGGTTGGAGGATAAATAGCCAATTTATCACTAAAAGATAGAATATCCAGGACAATTAACTATCAACAGTATAACACGGAGCGTTATTGTTCTCGTAATGATTACATGTTTCCTTAATAGAAATGAAGATTAGATTTCACACAAAAGGATGAATGGAAATGAATATATTTTCTAGGGATAAATAAATATGAATCTTCTATCTCTAGTCTCTTAAAGACAAACATAAACTTTTTAACCTTCAACTATCATTTTAAATTCGTCGATCTTTTTTTTTAAATTACTGGGAAAATCACTTCTTAGAATCTATCATTCATGAAAAAAAAAGCAAAAATTTTACAATGCAAGTCATGGCACAATAAGGAGAATCACTGAATCAGTAGGACTGGTTGACCTTAAGACATTACAAGATAGATCCATTTATACATTTCTTCTGAGTTTATGTCAATTTCACCCCCAATTTCAAGATATATCTCATTTTTAATGAAATTTACAAACCTTTGCTGATTATTTTTCAGTAAAGCTCGTCCCATCGGATGGATTGTGATAAACTGTCGCACTATTTCTCTTTGCTTCTTCTGCAATTCTATTTTATAGATTAATTTAATTAAAATAACTTATCAATAGCAATCAATTGAAGCCTAAACGACACCTTGGTGACACCTTTATTTAAATAACTATCTTATCAAAACCGAAATACAAATACGAGCAATCAATGATGGCTATGAGCGCTTTTTCCGCCAGAAAATGCATGTCGCACTTTTCCCGCCATTAACATTTGAAAATGAAGCATCATTTAACGCGTCCGATATGAAAAATTTTTGTTGCAGAAAGATAAGAGTTCAATTTTAAAGTATGTTTAATGAATTGAAGTGTTGTTTTCCAGATTATATGCTTGGTTAAACATTCCATTAATATCACTGATGCTATTTGCGATACAAATCATTCTTCCGGAACATTTGGATAATAGATTGTGTTTTCTGCTATGCTGGAGTGTTTCATATTTAAGTTTGCATCAGTTTAAAAAAATGCACGATATGATTTATCAGGAAATCTTAATAGGATGACATTTATTAACGGAAGAAGCGTGAATGTCCCTTTTGATGTTTAAATGCTTTTTATGCATCACTTGTATATTTCATCCGCCTTTATTACATCTTTACAGATTGATGATTTCAGTTAAGTACCGAATTCCAAAATGATAATTTCCTTTAACTCTATTTCTTTTTCCGATATTTGAGTGTTTAAATTTCGAACTATTTCAGTACGGTATGCTATATCATGACTTTCAAACGTAAAAGTGTCGTAGTATCATGTTGATTTTATTTTTTTATTCTTTAAAACCAGAATATAAACAAAAAAGGAAAGAAGAAAAGAAGAATTAAATGGAATTAAAAGCCGAGCATAGTGTTTGATGTCTGCGTGCGATGTGTTGTGGACTTTTCAGTGGACTCTCCAGTATGTGTAAGATACCATTCACAGCAAGCATATCCACATCCTGCATTTTCAAATTTACTTTTCAGTTAAGGATTTGAAGAGTATCACGTTATATTAGAGTGTGCAGCATTACAGTGCTGCAAAAGTAATTGTTGTGTTAGGAAGTTAAAGTAATAAGAGGATGGCTGGATAGATCTTTTTAACTAATGATCTAGGTAATATGGTTTGTGAAATTTTTGCTCACTAACCTGTAAATTAATATTACCAAATGTTGTCTTCTTGTCTACTCTGTGACCACTGTAATATTCACCTCTAACATTTTTCAGAATTACAGGAAGCTCTCCATTACTTGTTCTTACCTGGAGATTCTTCGAACAGAACAGTCCTGTAAATTAAGTGAGCGTTGAGAAGAATTAAGTAAATTTAAATGATAAATAATAATTACCCTCAAAAATATGTCTGCGGACAAAATTATTTGCCATCGTTTTATTCGTTCTTAGTGCTCGAACTTGATTATTCGATAATGCATCATTGGAAGGCAGAAAAATGGTATACAGTCGATCATTCTCCAAACTGACGTTACTGTCATTGAGTAACGAAGCAAATACAGAAAATTCATTTCGAGCAGTTAGCAGCTCTTCTAATGTATTCGTAGTTCTTGGTAAAGGCTAAATTTTATACATTTTAAGTAAATTTCTTAGTTCCAAAAACAAAAAAAAGAAAATCTGAAAAAAAGAAGACATGAAATTAGGAAGATGAAAGAAAGGAGAAATAGTTAAATTTTCTAAAACTTTGAACCTAGCAGCAAGTGTCAGACTTTCAAATTTAATGGTTTAATTTGTAAAGGATGTGCTCATTATTTTTCATGTTCATACGTTTACAGTTCATACTGAGAGCGAATTTTTGAATCCTAGTCTAAATATTCATAAATATTTTTGAGACATAACTATGATCAATATAGAAACAAAAGTACATACAGCATCAATAGTATAAATGATCGTGTTGCAATACTTCGTAGGTGTTTCTACTGTTTTTGCACATCCGAAAACCGGCCTTACAGATTTCGCCGATGAAGGAATCTAAAGTCGCAAAAAGATATGTCTATAAGATCGAAAAGTTTTAAAAATATCTACGGGTAATTAAAAATATTAATTTAAGTGAGTGACAATTAATAAATCAATTACCTTCGAACCATATGCTGTTTCGATCAGATTATTTGTGACATATGAGTCATTCATGATAATATGATTCATAACAAATGATTTTTCATCTGTCAAATTCTGAAATTAAAAATAAAATTGGCTGGTTGAATGAAGATAAGATAGAGTTTTGATAGGACAGTGTAAGAACTGAAATAACTTTATTTATTTAAAACAAAGAATAGTGACTTTATAATGAGAAGTAAGGAAGAAGGTTAATCAAGTAATTGAAGTGAATTAGAATAAACCTAATGCTATCTTTTCTGATTCAGCTATTAATAGCTAAGTAATGGTATTGAAACAAAAGAAATAATTTAAAGATTGTGTACTCGGAATGAATCATTGGGTGGTACAAATATGGCCACTGGGTCATCTTCATAACCAATATTGCGTTCAACGATTTCCAGGAATTCTCGACCGGGAAATTCTAAGTGGTCGCGCCAATCTATTGCAGCTGTAAACTTTAAACGATAATTTATTTCCTCAAATTTTCTGCATCCAGCAGTTGCTAGATATTATAGCAACCAGCTTTTCGATTTAGCTTCTATAAAATTTTGCGTTCATCAGTGAAGTTATTTTGGACAATGGAGAAAGTGAAAACGAATTAAATTCAAACCCAGATTTACATTGTTCTCGAAGTATTACATCATCGATGATATGAATGACACCATTTGAAGCTACTCGATTAGTACTTAAAATTCGACCATTATCCAGACGAATTAATTCTGTGTTATTTCCATCCCACTAAATTTCAATTATAATAATTTCCATTTTACGATATTTGATTACTGCAACTCTAATTAAAATTTTATTTGCGAAATGGTTTGTGGCTTTGTTGCATATAAACATAATTCATCATTTATTTAACAAATCTAAATGAGATTGAAACTCTCGACCTGTTTGTAAAAGCGATGTTTGATACCAGTAATTGATGTTATAGCATTTTCCTTGAATGGTGAGCATAACATACCATCATATATATGTTCCTTGATTAATTCTATAAAAAAAAAAAAAAAAAAGATCTTAATTTAATTGAAATTTAGTTTATGAAATTTAGAGAAAACATTATGTTTCACCTCTTGCGCATCCTTTTTTTTGATACATACGTGCTTGAAGTGATAAAGATAATGAAGAAAATTTTTCGTTGTTAAAAACGAATACAGTTGAAATGAGATTGTTTGATGCAAGACGTTCTTGAAGATCATCAGTTAACACTAAAAAGAATTATTTAAATTCTATGTCTCAACCAGATTATCTCATTTTTGCTTTACTTTTTTTTTTTTTTCAAGTAAAAAAAAAAAAAGATTACAAAGGAAAACAATAAAATTGGATTGTTTTAGCAAGACTTGATCAAATGATTTTAAAGCTTACAACTGCTGAAAGCAGAAAAATTCGAATCATTTATAATAATGTCAAAAAGTGTTTGATCTGTTATATTAGGTAAAGGTCCATTTAACAGTTGCACAGTGCCATTTTTCCATTCCAGATCTTCATCTCTTATTTTGATACAATTCAAAAGAGGCTAAAATTTTCAAAATTGATTCGGATATTTGATAAAAAACCTAAAATATTGTAATAAATACCTGTTTATGGTTCATCGGATTTCTTGATTCTTGAATTATATATGAATAATTTTTGTAAAAATTACTTACAACAATGATAAAGACAATATGTCTAGAAATTCAATTCATATGTAATCTGAATTGAATAGGACAAAGTAAGGGAAATAAATGTAGGACAAAATGCAGTGAAGGTAATTCTCTTTTAACTTTTTAAATTAACAATTAAAATTAATATTAATATGAATTATTTATTTACTCAAAAAATGAAGTAAATTATTCCTACTTTATCGTCTAAATCTGTTTGCTCGAGATTTCTCGATACAATAACAAAAGCTCCTTGTTTTCGAGTTGGCAATTTCTGAGAGTTTAACATTTCATAGCTACGATACGGTTGTTCCAGGATGTATTGATCCCAATTCCTGCTTTCAGTATCGTTCTAAAAGAGTGGAATAGAAAAAAAAAAAAAACATTACCTTATTCAGTTGTGATAATGTATGTAAAGATTGAAAAGAGTTTTATTAAAATAAATGCTTAAAAATTGAGATAGAAAGACAAAATATCTGCTAAATGACGAGTTATAAATCAAAAGAAAAAAATTGAAATTTATTTCCTCAATAATGAAGAGTGAAAAAAAAAAATGGATTTTATAAATTCATAAATTTCAAATTTCTCACAAATTGTGCAAAAAGAATTAGAAGGAGAAGTTAAGCGAAATTTTTAGTATCAGAAAATTTATACCTCTGAGCATGATTCATTGCTTGGTATCAGTAAGGTTGTAAATTTGATATCCTTTGATGCGAATGGCTCTATACAGACATTCTTTTTATGCAACAATTCATCCAGAGTTTTTGGAATATCGTCTGAAATCAACTTCATCACGTAAAAATGCATCATGACGTACGTAAAATAAAAACGTCATATGTTTAGCGATAAGTACATTTACTACTGAAAACCGGACAAGAAAGTGAACATACACGGAAAGCATCCTTTCTTGATATCTGAAGTGTAATATCCATCACAACATTCAATGATTCTTATCAACGTTCCGTTACTGTCACTCGTAACACAACGTATAGCTCGTTTATATGACGTACACGTTGATTCAGAAGTATCCCACAGTAATGGCACTTTCTTTTCTCGTACACAAACATGCTGTCTAAATATTGAAGTTTTGGAGAAGTGTTAAAATAGATAATAATAATAATAATAATAATAATAATAATAATAATAATAATAATAATAATAATAATAATAATAATAATAATAATAATAATAATAATAATAATAATAATAATAATAATAATAATAATAATAATAATAATAATAATAATAATAATAATAATAATAATAATAATAATAATAATAATAATAATAATAATAGCAATAATAATAATAATAATAATAATAATAATAATAATAATAATAATAATAGTCTAATTAACATAATTTTTCAATGAAAAACTAGAAGAATTCTTGACTTTTTTATTTTATCGCTGTAAATATTGTCAACATCGAGTATTCCAGTTATCAATTAAATTGTATTTTTTATTTTCTTGTGAAAATTTTCAATCTTCAATTTGCTGCCATCGATTCTCAAAATTTCACAAAAATTGTTTCGAGTTCTACCATCTGTTTGTCTGTCCTTATTATCTTGATACGATAACTTTTTTTAGACAAATTGAACACTCGAAATCTTCCTCAGTTTCTGATTTTTCTCAATAAACAAATTTCATTCTTTCTAATAATTCACTTTGAGGACACAAAAAATTTGACTTTGTCATATTACTTGTTCATCTTCTGTCTTTACCGGATCTATATCACATCAATAGTAACTTCGTCAATTTGATCTTTTCAGTTCGTTCTCTGACGATCTTACATAAAATGACTGTCACCTACTGTCACCTTTCGAAGATTCCGAACCCAGGTATAAAGTAAAATAAAACTTAATACTGCAGCATGAGCATTCATGATCCAAAAGCTTCATACTATGAATCAGTCTAGCTTTGGTGACAATATCATGTAATAGTATGTTTTTTAGATTAACTCATAGTCATCGTAAATGATTCTATTTTGAATTATCGAGATGAAATGTATTCATCCTGTAAACTTACACAAAATAATGGAGGAATTCAAGTAGAACATACTATGAAGCTCAGTACATTTCATTATTTATGGCTTATAGATAGTAACCAATGTTGAAATTTGTTTAACTTTTTTTTTCCCTTTTTTTTTTTTTTTTTTGTTACCATACAAAACATCGAGAATTTTTATTGAAGTTTTTTTTCAGAAATTGAGAATTTATGGATGTTTTTTAGAAATTTTACAATCGAAAATTTTATGAAAGCTTTTGTCATCACAGTAAGCTTTTCACATTTCTTTTTTTTTTTTTAGCAGAGTTACTAAAGAGTAAAAATTTGAAACTGATTGCAGATACAGTGTCAGGTGTCAACAATTTAATCGATTTCCTTTAATATCCAGCCTTTCCTGGTCAAACTAATCCGTTATTAATCTCTGTACTGTATAGAATTAGTTTTCCATTAGTGAAATTCCATGAAATTTCAAAAATCCAACACGGTCAGTAGGACAGAAATTTTGAATTGAAAAATTTCAAAAATTTGGGACATTTCGAAAATGTCATAAAATGGAAGTATTGATTAGTTTAATTATATTTTAAATATACTAACTCAATCGTAATACCGCCTTTATGAAAAGTTGGTCGTTCTTTTCTCAATTCTGTACTCAAATTCATTTGTTTTGTTCGTCGCTTATCGTTATTCAGGAAAGAAATCATTTGTTCCAAGAATTCATTAGCCTAAAATTAAAAAAAAAATTAGCTTAAAAAAATGAGTTAGCTATTTAAGGTATTATTGAAGAAATAATCAGAAGCAAAAATTGTTTTTGTTATTTTCATCAATTGATAGAATGAATAGTACTGTTTCAGCTATCAATTACAAGGAGATTCTCTAATTCATAGATGAATATTCTTTATTAACTTATGATAATCTCAAATTATTATTCACAGGAGAGAGAGAGAGAGAGAGAGGGAGAGAGAATTATCCCAATATGCAAAAATAGAGTTACTTAAAATTTGAATTACTCTATCAATGTATCAGTTAAAAATTTACAAAACGAGTAAATAAATCTTTGCAGTTTCACTTTCAAATAATTATAATCCATTATTATTGCTCTCTTTTCTTCGGAGCAATCAATCTTTTCCCAAAGTGTAATTAATGATAGCTCTCATTGAACGCTTAATAGAAATATCAAATTGATAACATATCACTTGATAGGTAACAAGTTAAATTTATAAAATAAAAAAAGTTATACCTTACTGGCTACAGTATTATAATCTTCGTGAACATTCATTTGTTCATCATTGATAATAGTATCAAAAGGATCATCAATTTTATAGAGATGCTGTAAATTGCAGTAATTAATATAATTAATATCTTCCAAATATTATAATTTTTTTTTTTAATACAACAAAAATGATTTTTAGTTTTTTTTTTTTTTTTTTTAATACAACAACAGAAATGATTTTAGTTAGTTTTTTTTTTTGATAAAATTTCGTAAAAATAAACCTGTGTGAAATGAAAAAGTTTGGATAAGAATGTCTCGAAAGGTGCAAAAGGAGAAATTTCACTATCATCTCGAATCATTGTTACAAGAGATTGTGTATCATAGAGTGATATCAGTGAAAAGATAAGATAAATGAATAAATTTACAATCATCCTTCTTTCACTTCGCTAAAAAAAAAAAAAAAAGAAAAGCAAAATTAACTTGTAATGAATTAAATTAAAAATAAAATAATAAAAAGTTGATTGAATTTTAGTACTTTATCTAAAGTATGCAACCCAATCGTTATTATTCAAGTTTCATTATTGTCAATGTATGTTGACAAGGACGACAGACAGATAAATAGAATGTCCTAAATTACAAATATTAAACTTTTGCATATAAATTATATCTCAAATTCTATTTACATCACAAACAAATTTTATTATTCTTCAAATACTTCTCTTTCTTACAAATAAGATAGCATTTGTTATTAATTGCTATAATTTTGATAGATTATATTTCTAAATAAAAAGTCTGTTTACATTTCCAAAACAAGCCTGTTTACATTTCTTCTTTTTTTTTTCAAGGATTATATTTTTAAAAAAAAAATATGTATAGTATTGAGAAATAAATGACTGAATAATATCAAGCAAGTAAATATCCATCCCATAAACATTTCTAAAAATTGGAACAAAGATCAGATGAGTCAGCTTTTAAATGTTTTTGACGCATTTGTCCTTCACCAAAGGTTTCGCCTTTTCATGACAAATGCATCATCACATACTCCCCAAAGAGATATTAATTATTGTTTGTAGATTTTTTTTTCTTATACTTCCGCAATTCAACATCAAAACATTAACTCTTATCGTTTGTCTGCAACCTATGACTAAATCTTCTCTCTGAGTTAATTCATCCATTAACCTTTCAATTCTAATTTCTTTTCTTCTTTCTTATTCTTCAACTCTTTAATGAAACTCTCACTACCTAGTATTTCATACTAGCAGCGTCCATCTTCTCTAATGACCTTCAGCGAAGGTCAATAGTTCTTAAAATGACATTAATTTCTCAATGTCAGAACCAATACGATTACCCCTGTTATTCAGTAATATAAATCTTTTCGTAGCAATAGAATTGTCCACTGAACTGACCAAAAATTAGCCTTTCAGAGGGAAAATCCAAGATGTCAGTGAGTTTTAAATCATTTATTTGATTCATCAGATTTCAATTAATTTAAAACAATTACTTTGCTTTAATTTTATTTTTATATTATCAATACTAAACAGCACTATACAATGAAGAAAGAGAGAGAGATCTTAAAGAAACTGTACATCATTTCAAGTCATTGTACTAAAACTTGACCGATCGCATTTTCCGATTTATCATTGTTTTCTTTCAAGTTCGTTTCACATATAGAAAGTAAACTTTTTGATGCATTTTGCAAAGTTTCGGGCTGCGAAACATCGCAATATGCTTTGGCCATTTCCATAGCACTTTCCCAATTTGTACTGCATGCTTCAATATAATGAAAAATATCGCCCAAGCTATAAAGAGAGCTTTTTAAAGAATGCAAATATTAGTATGTATTTTAAGAAATAAAAAAAAGAAATCAGAACAAGGGTTTGAACAATAATTACATCCCCTTTAGTTATAAATAAAAAACGATGAAAAAATATTTGAAAAGCAAAGGTTGAAACATAAACCATCACTACAATTAATTAAATTAAACAAATTTTATTGGTTTCAGTTATTTCTTAGAAAATTCTGATTAAACTCATCATTCACACCAAAAATCTCCCGCTCTCTCTTAAAAAGAAAAAAAAAATGCTTGCTCATAACTTCACAATAATCAAATGTTTATATGGATGAATAAAACAGCCTAAACACCGAATCAGTTGTTCTACTTTTGCTTATCATTCTTAAATCCTATAGTGAATTAAAAATTTACTGCAGCGAATAAGCACGGAAAATTCAAGTACTTACCTTTCTAGAACAATCAGTTGAAATTTATAAGCAGCCGTATGAAAATAGGCTCGTTGGGCATTAGCACTTATAATACTTTGTTCAAGCATGAATTTACGAACTGATGGCCATACTTGAGGAATAAAACGACGATAACAGAAACTACCAGAAAGTTCACACATCGTTATAACAACCTACAAAATAAAGTTATGCTAAAGTGCAAGAAAGAAAACGAACGGTACTAAAAATTACTCAAAAAAAAAATTAAATAATAAAAATGTATGAAAAGGAATGAAAAGCAGGGGTAGAAATATATAAAAAAAGAGTAAAAAGAGAACATATAATCACGAATAGAAATAAATTCGGATTTTTCAAAATAGTAACCTTAAATGCATCCACCCGCACATTCAAGTTTTTCTCCTGGAGACAGTCCAAAACTGCTAACCAGTTCTGATGAATCATCGGCAGATAATCGTCCGGGAAATGTTGCAAATCTTTCAAACAAACATCCAAAATTTTCAGAACCAATAAACGAACTGGTATGTGAGAAGAAAAGAGAAGATGCTTCGTTCTGAAAAAGCAAAAATTTTCAACTTGATAAATTTCAGCATAACTGTCTATACTTATTACACATACCAAATAACAACTACGAGTTTATATCCAAAAATGATTTGAAAATGATCTAAATATTTATTAGAAGGACAATTAAACATACCTCATCAAAACATTGTTAATAGATATAACAAAATCAGGTTTTGGAGCTTTCTTATCTAGATCATCCTCATCATATTCAACTTCTTCAGGCTTGACATCAGGAAACCATTTTCCAACAGCAATTCCAAAACTAAGCATGGCTCTGAGAATTAAAATTAGCCACTCCTGAAGTATAAGTTGATATATTTCAAACAAATACAAAGGGTAAAAAGAATTAAAACAAATTCAGCACGATTCAAAACAATGGAAAAAATATACCTGTGATCCTACGTCAATTGCAAGTAGAAGTTCTTCGACAACGTGACAGACAATCTCGAATAATTCAGGATTCTCACAATGATCAAGTAATGAAGACAGTACACAAGGTGTACGAAGATTACTACTATAGGCTCTTGAACGAATTGCAACCTTTGGTAAGAGATATTTCCCGTAAGTAACACAAAGAGAAGATATGCCAGCTTCTCCTACCGCCTGAAGAAAATTTAAAAATGAAAAATAGCGAAGTTGCTAATCTGTTCATCAAAAATTTGCAAGAAAAGGAAAATTTGCTACAATAACAACACATTGTAGGCAAAAAGAAAAGAAATAAAAGAAACAACCTTCATTCTATCTAATCAGTGAATAAAAAATAAAAAGAGCCTTCAATTCAAAAAATGAAATATTTTATAAAACAAACCATAGTAGCAGCTTTTAAAGCATATTCCGCACTTTCTGCACAAATTAGATACGATGACTTTGTCCATTTAAATATTTCAAATAAGGTTTCATTCATTAACTGTAACCAGATATAAGAAAAATTAAGAGGAACTAAGAGTAAAATAAAATATACTAAAAGTAAGTTTAATTGTAGACCAACATCGTACGCAGTAACTACATGAAATTATGAAATTTTGCTTCTTAATACATATTTTAATATCTTTTTAAAAATTAACAATTAAACCTTTTGGCATAAGAATATGGAGGGAGTACAAGTAAAAGCAGCTGCACAAAATGATAATAAAACGGTGACCAGACAACTTTCGATACCTTGCTCATCATTATCATCTGCAATTTAGAAACTAAGATTTTCATCAATTTTTAGATTTAACACAACTCTGATAACTAATCAATGTTTTATTTCACTTTAATTTGCTTTAAATTTTTAATTAAAAGGCCAAAAATAAACCTTCAATAATATCGTCTCGCGGTGGATGATGTATGTCGATTCTTTCCAGAAGTTTAATAGCTTGTTCAACCAACACTTGCAAAGTATCAACAAAGTTTTGAGCTAGCTTAGTAATTTTTGTACAAGCTGCTCTTAATAAATATACAGCAAAGTGATAACTACCCGTCAACTCTTCCAATTCTTTCGTATGACCAATATTTGCAGAAATACAATCCAGGAGAACCTCAAACATAAAGTGATATTAGCTCAACTTCTCAATATTTTCAAAATGAAATTCAAAATTTCTACATATAACTCTCTTATCTTATATCCCAAATCCCTATATATATCCCAAATCCCGATAATAATAAGCTGGAATTAAAGAAAAAGACTTCTTGGTCTATTCCTTAGAAAAAGCCGTTAAAGCAATAATTTTATCACTCAAAAAACTTACTACAGATTTGTTGAAAATATGAAACAAAGTATAAAGTTAGAAACAAAAGAAAGCATATAATTAAAAGCTATAAAAATTCAAGAAAACATAAAAATAATTTACATGAGGCTGTTTACTTGCAGCTAACAGCACAGCAATCTGATTAACTGTTTTTTTTTCAACATTGTGTAAAAGTGGTAAGTCGTCTACTATGCCTGTAAGATAAATTTTCTGAAGATGTCAAGAATTTTTTTAATATGGTTTATTGTCTCTGATAAAGCTTATTTTTTTTATGATTCTATTAACAATAGAAAGAAAAATTTTTAGATCATATGCTAACATACTACTTTAAAATACTAAAAAAGACCTATACAACAAGTAATTATTTACCTAAAACATTGTTTTTATCAGTGACTTCACGACTCAAACGTAATCGCCTAGTATTCAACCGCAGTGCGGATGATAGTGCGAATGTCAATTGTTCAGGCAATTTTCCACCTAATAAAAAGTCGCCGCATTCAGAATTCATTGAAGACAGTACTCCTAACAACTGAAAATTCACTAGTCTAACTTTTGCTGAACCAAACAAGAACAACAAATAAAACCATATTGCTTCAATTGTCGCTTTTGTTAACAAATAAAACCATATTGCTTCAATTGTCGCTTTTGTTAACAAATAAAACCATATTGCTTCAATTGTCGCTAAGAACAGTAAAATTATTCCTTAAGCTATCAATTTAAGAAAAAATTTATAACACAACAAAATCCTTCATGAAAAATTTAGAATAGCTTAAAAGAAAACAAGGAACACTTCCAATTTCATGTGCTCTAAAATAGTTGCTAAAACTTTCAGTTTTTAATAGAGGTAGCAAAGCCAAATTAGTAAAAACAAGAATTATCTGCTAGTGCTTCCTTCATTACTACTGTCTCAGAGTTACGCTTCCTTTACCTGTTTTAAACATCCTTCAACATCTCCGCTAACAATGGCTTCTGTAGGTATAGTAGTAGTTAATGAGTATAAGCGTTCTCTCAAACGATTGATGAAGTTTTCTTTTACTGTATGCATCAAATATTCTTTAATCGTCTCCGAAAATTCAGCAATTCTGAAAGCCATCATATGATATAAACAAACTCTTCTGTATATGTTCCAGACTACCAAAAAGTTTTTATTTTCAAAAAAATTTTTGCACACAAAAGTGTTTGATTAATTGCAACTGTATTACTATTCAAAAACTTTTTCCGTTTACTTGAAGAATCTTACAATTATCTGACGATCTTATAAACAGTGACGTTTAGGAATTAATAAATTTGTACTGTTGTGCTGAGGTGCACACTTCAAATTTAAACTTAAATGAGAGCAGAAAAATGTTATAAGAAAATAAACTTACTTCTCGTATGGATCATTCAGCAACAGTAGAACAGTATCAATTAAAATATTTTCAATTGAGGAAGCAAGACTTAGAGCACAATGTTTGTAGATATCATGTAAAAGAGTAAGTAAAGCAAGCCGAATACGATGATCCTGATGTCGGACAAGTCTAGAAGACATCCGTCTGAGCTGAAATAATTTGAAAAGTCAACATTTCAACAAATACAGCAGTAACAATAATAAAACTAAAAAGGAATTATTGTTAACTTACAATATAATTTCTATGAAATTTCAAATATAGCAATTTATTTGACAATAAGTCAGAAATGCAAACCAGTTAGATTTTAATAATACAACTTTCAAAAGTGAAGGAATATGTGAAAATAACCGGAACTGTATAATCCTCATAGTTTAGATCGAAGAATGGCAAACTAGCAAAACATAATTCTATGGTAGCTCGTTCAATAAGAAAAATATCACTTGAATTATATTACCATTCATATTAATGAACAGATCGCTGTTTAAATTTTTTTTTTCCTTCCAATTTTTATAGGAATAGATGAGCACTTGAGTAGATAAAAAAAAAAGAATTTGTACAAATCAGTTGAACTGATTGTTTCCTTTTGTATGTACATTTTTTAAAATTAGGTCGCAAAGATGTGTCTTACCAAAACTTTCAAATTCTCATCCCGAGTAATATTTTTTTTAGAAACATCTTCAGAATTTCTTGGATTGCTTTCAACAACTGTTGAATTTTCAACTTTGTCCTGCTTGTGAACAGAATCGTTCAAGCAAGTTGTTACAGTGCAGCCAAAAATCTGGAACTATTATTGCGTTGATTAAGACTAATGGATATTTACTCTTTATTACTTCCTATTCTCATTTAAATTTCGTTATCATAAATTTTAAAGCTCACTTATAAAAAGAACTACCATTATTTTCGTTAAAAAATAACATAAAATTAAAATGATCCATTCTCTATTTCACATTTCATAGTCAAAGTTTTAAACAAGTGTACAATTCACATTTTTTCTTATCGATAACAGATAGAAGGAAAAATTAAATTTGAGCACTAAATGAATTTGAAGTCTAAGCCTAACTTATTAATAATAAACATGAAACAACTTTCTGCTCATTTCCAAATTCTTACAAATGAATTTAACAATATCTGCAATACCTTTAGCGCTACATTTACAACTGCCGTATTGAGATCTGAACAAGCAAGTTTAGTCATACGACAACAAATACCAGGAAGAAATGAAGTCATTGTTTTCAGTGATTCATCCCACGGTTTGACAAGTTCAAGCATTGCATTTCCTAAGGAAAGTCTAAAAAGCATTTCATAAAATTTTCCTGATGTCGAAAAAACCAAAACAATTTTATAACATAAACATGTGTTATAATCAAAACACATCGAAATGGTTAAAAGTAGAATAAAATACTGAGATAAGTGACAAATAATAAATTTAATGTGACAAGTTATAAATAAAATAATAAATCATTGTCTGTAACTTTGCCATCATATAATGATAATTATTTACTATATTTCTCTAATCTAATGAAAATGATTATTTGCAATAGTTTAGAGTATCACAACTATCTTTCAGTCATATAATGAAATTTATTTGTAACTGCAAACTTTTGCAAACAACTGCACTATATAAAAGAAATTATTATTATCAATAACATAAACTTCCTCTCAGTTCAAATTATAACAACTACGCGCTTTAATCAAGTCTCCATCTAACAACAATCTCAATCAATTCCAATCCAATCTTTTACAAACTACGCAAAGAAGACTAACAGTGACCAAATCTAATGAGATATTCCCTGACTGTTCTATAAAGAATAAATCCGCCTTCAATTATTTTCCTCTTTTGAAACCATACAAAAAAAAAAGGATTTTATAAAGTTACAAGACAAAAAACTCAAACTTTTACTACACCTGATATTCTTCCTTATGAAATACTAAATCTAGTGCTTTTAAAAATATTTTTATTCACCATGCAAACTTAGCTTTTCAACAGTTCATTTTGAAATCTCACACTAGGCAAAAATTTTCGCATTAAACAGAAAAAATTACCTGATCGGCATATCGACATTTTGTAAACAGAACTTAGACATTAAAAATGTTATCATAAATGCAAGTTCTCCCTGATGCTCTTTAGAAAAGAAATCTGAAATATAATTATTATGATTTCACTTCTTTGCCGACCTTATTCCTCAATATGAGTAAATTTCAAGTTAAAATTAAATTTCGAATTTAACCAATGACTAAATTTAATCACAAACCTTTCCTATTTATTGCTTTAGAAAGCATAAATCGGACAAAATTTGCCTCAAATGTTGCAATTCTTTCCAAGTTGACCGCCTTACTCATTTTATCACAAATTACAAGACATCTACTATTGATGGACCATAAAAACGGACGCAAATCATCTGCATTCTGAAAAGCCCACAAAATTATAAGCGAATTTAATAAATTTCAATATTTTATTTTAATGCTAATACGAAAGGCGCAAAAGAAAGGATGACTAATATTAATACTAATAACTTTGAAGAAAACATTACGAACAACCAAAGCTTTCTTACCAGCATTAGGTGACAACTTGAAGGAAATGTATTATTTTCCTTAATATTTCAATTACCAGTCACAAGAATACCATCAGAAAATTATAAAGTTACGAATTTCTCCAACTTAAAATATTTCTTCCTGGAACTGACAAATTGTCCAAGTTTTTTACTCGCTCGATATGTCTCTCAACTAAGTACTAAGTTTCCCAGAAACTTAAAACCGTTGCAAAGGAAGAATTCTGAATTACTTACTTCAGCTTTTAAATTTTCAAAAATACTGTTGATTATCTGCAAGGCGGAATCAAAATTATACTGATTAAATTCGTCCTCATTTTTCATCGATTCTTTCAAAATTGTGAATGCTGTACTAAAGATGATTCGGCACAGCTTGGCAAATTCTCCTTTTTGCAAGCTGTCCCTCTCTAACATGTCTAAAACTTTCATCTTTCAAATAAGAATAAAAATATATAAAATAAAATAAACACCTTGAAAGTTAACTATTTAAGAAAGAAAAGTGAATAAAATAGTCAGATAAATGGTACAATAACTTCTCTTTCAACTCAATAATTTAATGCATAGAAGGGACTTTTTTAATAAACAAATTAACTTCATCTCTTAACTTATCATTGTTTCATTTATAAACTCAATTATTGGTAGTTAAGTAAATGTCAATAAAATTTCATAAAGAAGAACAAAACTTACGTTTAACAAATGTTGAAAATTCAGCAACAGATTCCGATGAGATGACACCTTCCGAAAATTCTTTGATAATTCTGATGCATATCGATTGTGAAGTTATCCTTATATCCCGAGAATAATTATCACTTCCAACTTCTGTCATTGTTAGCAGAATTGCCGTTTTACTTAAGACAGTAAATTTTTTATATTCTGATATAATAAGAAGGAACAATTTTACATTTCGCATACATATCGAACTATAAAATTAAAGAATTTTAAGCTTTACATAATGAAAAATTAATTTATTTCTAATATTTCCTTGACTACTATTGAAAGATGTAACTCAGTGTTAAATCAATAAAATAATCATGACGGAAATAGAAATTACCGCAAATAATTTTCAAATTCGCAACGAAAACGAAATTAATTTGAAAGCTATCACATCATCTGGAAAAGAATTGCATGCCGGTGTAGCATGCAACCTTACGGAAAAAAGTTGTTCCTTTATGGTTTACTTAGGTTTAATTAAGCTTGTTCTGATTCAGTAGAAGAATTTCTAGTGAAATGATATCGATAGAAATAGAAAACGAAGAGTTCCAGTGAATACATACATTTCCATAGTTTACAAAATTGAATAAATCAACGATAGTTACTTCAACTTCAATATTTTGAATACAAATTTTTTTTTTTACACTTTTCAAATTTAACTAATCTTCTCCGGTTCCAGTTTTGTGTCTCAAATTATGATTTATCTATCTTCATTTGTAATTATTTAGCAATTTTAAAAACTTTTCTTATGTACTTATCTTTGGAACAATAGAAATAATTTTCTTTTAACATTCTTTCTTGTTGATTCAACTATACGTAAACGACGTGATAATCCGTTGAAAAACCGAACGGTCTGATTTAATCTGATTGTATTTTGAGCTGATGCATCAGTAGATTGATGATTATAATGGATGTAACCGGAAGTTCAAGCACTTTATGAGTAGTTTACTTATTACTAAGGTGCTTTACTTATTACTACAGTACTTTACTTACTAAAGTACTTTACTTTTTACTACAGTACTAATTGTTTGCTATTATTATTTATGTGTGCTTTTTATTGCTTATATTATAGATGGATTTCTTGATTTTTCTGTTAACTTTTACGATGTGTACATTTCCACCATCAGAGTAATTCACAGTAGTAAGGATGGACAGACAAAGAAAGTAGCGAACATACATACACTTGGAAGAATTCATTACTTATAATTATTTAGCCTTCATCAAAACAGCAATATCGATTTGCGAGTCTAACTCTTTAACAGTCAGTTTTTGTGCAAATATGTCAGTTTGTTACCAAAAATTCCTAAAAAAAAAAAAAAGTTTTGTCTTTCTTAAATTTCTCACTGTACGATCGCAAACAATCTCGTTTTACATGAGAAGAAATGGGATGGATGGATGCTACTGGAACAAGTTGGATTCATTCTCCAAATTGTGTACGGTGTTTTTGAAGATTACTAGTTTGTGTTATCGATGGTTTAACTAGACGATAAATTCAGCGATTGTTTCACTTTTTGGTCTTTTGATTCTTTTCTTAAAGGTGTGTTTTTTCTCATGAATTGTTTATACTTATAAAATTAACTTTGTTCATTCAGTATTGAACAAGTAAGTAATCATTTCATAATGTATGAAATATGTGATATGAAAAATATGAATGATATTGACGTGCTGTGTAGTTGTTCACTTCTCAGTAGAGTTTTGATGATAAAGTAATTACAGGTTTTTTTTTGGTGATTCAATAAATGAAGAACTGTTCCATTTCTTTCCTCGTATCATCTGTTGAAATTGATTTCTGACTGAATTTTTTTTTTTTTTTTGAAAAATTGAATTCATTCATTTAAATGTTCCAAATTTATTGGCCTTTTCAAATAATTTTTTTGATATTAGATCACCTAAGTGCTATATGAAAAGTGAATTTTACTTAGTGTTCATCGAATTTAGCAGATTTTTTAGTTTTTTTTTAATCATTTTAATCTTTTCTCGTGTCGTTTTTTTTTTTTTTTTTTGCTAATTACCATAATTTCATTATTGCTAGATAGTTACTACTTCCAACTATCCTCAGAAATAGTATATTATATTAGGAAAATATTTCTAATTGGCTTAATAAAATTACTGGAATTTTTATATTCAAAAATGATTAAAATCTTATAATGGTGTATTGTCTAGCTTGCCTTTATCGGAATCTATGAGAACTGTACAGGTATTTTATTTTAAAAAAAAAAAATTACATTTAGATTCTGAACCAGTTTCCAAGTGATGAATCTCAATGAAAATGTATCTCAGTACTAACCGTCAAGGTAATTTTATTTATTATGTTTCTGGACTTTTTTAATAGACATTTTATTATCAGAGATTATGCTTTCTTCAGAAAAAAAATTCTTCCAGAAATTCCAAGTGTAAATATTTCAATTCTTAACTTCCGTCTGTTCATTTCTTTGATCATCTTTTTAATTTTTGATTTCTATCTTTATATGAATATCTTTACAAATAGCATTTTTTAATTCTATTGAAACGAATATGAAATGTTAAACCTGTTTATCTCTAAACAAACAATAGTTTCATCATTGTCCATGGACTAAATTTACAATTTCTTGCACCTTCGATTAAACGCTCTTTCCGTTCATTTCATTCAAGATCAATAATGATTATTTTTTTAGTTGAGTAAATTATGCAAAAAACTTTTCCAATATTTGTTTTGAGCTTTTGATATATGTTTGCTTACTTCGTTAGCTTAACAACTGAACCAATTTATTTTGGTTTATGCTGTGAATTTTCTATGCCTATCTTACAGCATCCGTAATCGGAAAATGTGTCATTTGTGGTGAGGATTCAACAGGGAAACATTATGGTGTTATTGCTTGTCTCGGTTGTAAAACGTTTTTTAGAAGGTTTGAATTCTTTTTTCGTTTTGTTTTAGTAGCTTTTTCGAACAAATATATTGCTTCTGTTCTGTTGAAGAATATATTTAGGTTAATACAAAAACAACGATTTTTAGGTTATTGAACCAATGCTACTTCTTACTGAAATACATTCTTAAATAAATAACTGTATTTGTATCACTTTAACACTCATATTGTGTTTTGTATTTTTTATTTACTTCTATTTGTTTTCACTTTATATTTTCTTTAGATAACATTAAGTAAGAAAGTAACATTAAACAACAGGCAAATTTAAGAGATTTTAAGAGTTAAAATTAGTTCATAAAGTAGCCGAGGTAATTAACAATATTAACAGCTTATTTGACGTGAGTATTACTAACAAGCAGACGTCTATTCGGAATTTGAATTTTATGGAGGATACTAATAGCTTTGAAGATCGACAATCTAATAATCGATTATTTCGATTGAAAGCAGTCACTGAAACTGAAGATGCATCATCTTATAACAATAGAAGAAACTGTCCAAGAGCTTAAAGTTAATCATTTTATGGTCATTTGACATTTGGAGCAATTAAAGAGGTAAAAAAAAATGAAATCGAAAGTTTCGAATTTCTTATTCTACGCAATTATACAACAGGGAATCATTTTTTGATCGAATTGTGTACGACAACTGGTGCTGATCATGCCTGTAGCATTCTTCAAAGCCGAACGGCATCATAAGAATGTCATTCGTTATTTGACGCCACGCTTGTTTTCTCTCATAGTTTTCTGAATCCTACCGGAACTATGACGACCAAGAAATATACTGAAGAAATCGATGAGATGCAAAACGTTACCAGTGAATATCAATCGATATAAAATTTTGGCCTTTCATACCTTTCTTACTTCAGCTGATCTACCTTTCTACCTTTCTTGAGCTGACCATTTCGATATAAAAAGTGATTATATGATCAACATCATGTGGGAAATGTTTTCCAAATTTTCATGCAATCCGAATTCACTGAAGTGTTGATTATTAAGTTACAAGAATAAACAGTCTTGTTTATCCTTAAATAATTAGTGAAAATATTTGAGTGTATTTTTAATTCTTACAATAATTTCAAAATTTAAGGTCCCAGACTACTTCTACTATGAATATTCTAAGCTTTTTTTTTCTCGGTTATCTCAAGCCTTTTTTTTTTTTTTAGTTTGAAGAAATATGGTATTAATTATATACCAAACGCAGAGAAACAAAGAAATGAGAATGTGATGAGATCTAGTAATTAAATTCTCGATAAGTAGTATTTTTTGAATTTGTTATTGGATCTGTTCGTATCATGAGTTATATATATATCAGAGCAGTGGTTCACCATCAGGATATCAAATGCAAGAGATCAGAATGCTGTGAAGTTATTAAAGACACCAGAAGAGCATGCAGAGCTTGTCGCTATAAGAAGTGTCTTGAAATGGGGATGACCAAAGATGGTTTCGTTTTCTGAATTCTAAACCGATTGTAGACAAAGTTTCATATATTGCATTTATACATATATACTTTTTTTTTAGAAGATTTTCCATAATAACGAGTATTTAAAGTTTTGTATAATATTCATATTTTGTTTCATGTGCAAATTCGATTTTTGTGATTGCTAGGCTAGATTGGATCATATTCTCATTTTCTAGATCTTTTCAGTATCATTATGGAATATCACCTTCAGTAGATTCTAAGTTTTTTAGCATCCCAAAAACTGTTACTTTACAGCGTTACAGCCACGTCGAGATTTGATTGGCTGTCGGAGATATCGACGACCAGATAATCAACAGGATTTCATCGCTTCAACATCTCACAATTTTCAATTACCGTCAATAGATATGTGTTTGGTTGAACTCATTTCGAAGCTTACATTTGTCGATAAAGAAATTCGGGAACGGAAATTTCGCTTGATGCGAGCGAAAAATGAAGCAAGAAGACTAGCACAAATGTTGAAACAAAGTAATCAGCAGGTAAGTTTTGTTGATTTTTTTTTTTTCTGTATTTTCTACAGATGAAGGAGCGCAGTCAGTCTTCCCATTTATATCTTATATTCGTCTGCAGTCTTTAACGGACTATGAATTCTGAGGGTATTAACCACTTGAAAACGAACTCTGTATGTCGATGTGTATAGTTCCAGGTATTGAGACTCGTTTTACATTCTTGACGCAGTGAGTTGCGTTAAGAATATAAAACGACTTTCATTTTTATGCACCCTTATCGACAAATAAAGCGATTGGCAATGGACCCCACCATCAAAAAGGTGGGACCCGTTAATGCAAATGCAAGAAAAGAGGTAAGTAGTGTAAGCTAGCGATAGGAGAATGTAAAGAAATGCAGTCATAGTTTAAATTTCCATTTTGAGCATTGATGTTTTATATAGTTCATGATATTTTCTTTCACCAGACAATTGTTGGAAAAACTTTGAAATTTTAACGAATGAGTTTTTGAAAATTTTTACGAATTTTTTTCAAACAGGTCATAAACAGATTTATGATTATGGCTACCGATATAGCAAGTGTAACACACACGGAATTATTGTTGATGTTAGAATGGGCTAAAACAGTGCCATGCTTTGCTAAACTTCCTTTTGCCGACAAGTTATCTCTTTTAAAAAGGTATGTTTAGGAATTTATACTTTCTTGTATCTGGAATAAAAAAATTTTTTTTTCGATCTTAGTTATGATCATATTATAATTATTCACCGAAATAAGTCTTTTGAGATTTTTGGATGGTAAGTTTCCATGTTTTTCAGTTTTGCTGTTCATTACCTTATTTTGGAATATGGCTATTACACTGCTCAACTGGGTATAGAAGATGTTTGGTTGATATCAAATGGTACCTGTATGCCACGGAATGTTGACAAATTACCCCAGGACATGAAGGTAACTACTTTTTTTATATATTATTATATGATTTGATGTTTTAATCTATCAAGCATAAATTTTCTGCAGAAAGCATAAGTTTTATGAACATATGTTCATTTTCTCTTGTCTTGATCTTTTTATTTTCATTCTCTCCCCTCTCATAACAGACCTATGCTTCTTGATCTTCTTCTTGTTGTTTTTTCACTGCAATCCTCAGTGTTTTATAACTTTTAACATGACGGATAGACTTGTCTAAGTCATAATATTAGACCAAATTCAAGCTTATTTCAAAAATGCGTTACGATACCTTGGCTGTCTTTTATAAATTTAGGAATCAATTCCAGTAATTTAGGAATCAATTCCAGCGGATCGAAAATGGCGTCAAGAAAAACTTTACAAACAGATGACTGATATATGTATCGACGAAGTTGCAGTACCTTTAAGGAAATTGAAGTTAATGCCTGAAGAACTTGTAACATTGAAAATCATCATGCTTTTCCGATATGGCAGTACAAATCGTGAAAGTACTTTTTCTTGTATTGTCATCATATGTGTTTATAACAACTCTTTCTTCAATTCAACTTTTATTCCTAATTAATGAAGATCTAGATGCTGAAAACTGCCTATTGATCAGCTAGGCTGTTTTTAATGTTGTCGTTCATTTAACGCGTCGTATCCTTAGATGAAGAATCAGAGATTTCGAAAGAATCAAGTGCCAGGATAACAGAATGTCGTGATCGAGTAATTGCTGCCCTATTTGCCTTTTACCGGTTTATTAATTTACCGAATTATGCAGGTTCACTTTTTTTTAAAACTTTTTCTGCTAATAATCAGGTGTTAATATTTGTTCCTCGTAGTTCGTTCATCATTTTTATTACCTTTTACTTTTACAGTCTTCAAAATAACAGTTCTTATGCATTCCAGAACGTTTTGGGAATGTGATTTTAACGATATCAGGAATAATATCAGCTGCATCAGCTACTATCGAAAGCTATCAAGTGATGCGCCTATTTAAAATTGTTGCCTTCGACCATATCTCTGAGCAATTACTTTTTAATATTACTCAAACGCTATGATATTGATACTGTAAGTCTGATTGTTAGTAAAAAATTTTAGCGTTATTTTGTCATTAATGATGTTGTAGACATAAAGCCATTTGCTTAATAGATTCATCCTGTGATTAAGATAATAGGTTCAGTATGTACTCATAAATAGTAATCATTAATAAAAGAGTTAAACAATAATTGAAATGAAACATTCGTTCTTATACGCATACAAAACATCTGTAGGTATTAAACATTTTTGCAAAAAAACTGGAAATTTACAACTGTTGCTGTTTCTGAACACTTGAACAGTGCTGCCTTGCTATTTTTGCAGTTGTTAAATAAACTTTTAAGATTTATTTTTGTGGTCCAGGATCAAACAGATTATAATAGCTAATAGGCAAGCAATCTATTACATAAACTTTTCAGTTACTTGATAATTTCAGAAATGATTAAGAATAGCCGATAAAGATTTCACTTTATTCTTCTTTCAAAAATGTAAAAAGTATGAAGAAGCTAATCAAAAGATGACACAAAATATGGATCTAATTTGATTAGCTATGCAGTGATAAAATATAAATTTCACCAATTTATAACTTATAGATCGTTTTCTTTTCATTTATGAAGTAATCATTAAGGGCAAAAATTTTTTAATAACAAAGCTCATTATTAGGAGATATATATATATATTATTTTGTCGCAAAATGTGCACAAACATTTTTGAAACTTTCCCCGCGAAGAAGTATGATTACAACAAGGAAGAATTGTCATTGATCGTGGCCTTTGTCTCCCCTTCTATCTCCTTTGCTGGTGTATTTTTTTTTTTTTTTTTTTTTTTTTTTGTGATTGAAAGATGGCGCCGTCAGTCTATATTTCTAGTTGAAAGCGAAAATGAACCATCCAAAACATTTTGTATCGAATAGACAAGCTAGGAAAAATAACAAATCAAATTGGGATCTATTTATTCGGCAAAAAATTCTTTGACAAAAAATGATAGACTATTGAGAGAGGGAGGTACGCGTGCTGCACAACAAAAACATTTTTGTTCCTAGAATTTGAAACATTTACCGCATTTTATAAAGAAAACATGAAAGATGAGATATTATCAGTGATAAGAGAAATGAAATGAGCTGTCAATGATAAATGTATGATACGGTTGCAATTTAATTAAAGTAAGAATACACCCCATAAATTGAGGCCATCATAAATGAGACAGATAAAATGAGATATTACTTTAATGAGCATTGATAGATCATTTAACACCAGGAACTAACTACCAAACAGATTGTTATCATTTCAAGTTAAACAAGTTTTGTGATAACCTCGAATGCTATAGCATTACACTGATGAACCTTTCACCCTTTTTAGTTGTCACTTTTTTTTTTCTCGCAATCATTTCAAATATTTGCTGTGATTTTTTCAATAAAGATGAAAAATTGTAGGAAAATAGAAAACATTGAATAACAGGAAAAGCAGGAATATCTCTTTAAAACAATACTTTCTAATAGCTAACAAAAAAAGAAAATTATCCTAAAAAAAAAAAACTTTTCCGGACAAAAAGCAAAAATTTTATGTTAAATTATTTGAGCATTATAGCAAATAAGAATCATTTATAAATTTAAATAAATATAAATCATTGAAAATAAAAACGAAACAGCTCTTAATTTTTGAATAGTTTAAAGAAAAAAAAAAAAAGTAAGAAATAAATTTGCTATTAGACGAGTAATACACGTGTTGCTAAACGTTAACATATATTTGCTCAATGTTGATTTCACGTTTGCCCAAAATTTCATTTTTTTTTTTTTTTTTTGTTGATATCAATCTGATGATTATCACTAAAAACTGGTTCTTATTTTATCCTAATTTTGATCTATTCCTCTTTATCAATATCACTATTATATTACAAGAATAATATTTTCATATCAAATTTTGGCCAAAATTTTTTTTGCTAATTTTAATCTAACAGATTTCTATCAAATATCTATCCCTCTTTTGTAGCAATAAATCCTTTCTAAAGGGTACTTCTTCTGCTTATCCTTGGCTAGCTAGACGTCTCCGTCTGTCCTATTATTGTTGTCCTCTTATACCATTCATTATAGCTTAGGTTTCATATCAAAAATGCAAATTAACCTGGAACGGATATGATGGTGGACAAGGGGACAATCAAATAAAGAATCGATGACACACAGTCATCCATCCATCCATCCATTCGTCCATCCATTCATCCATCCATCCATGTATCCATCTATCCATCCATCCTTTTCTTCACATTGCCAACAGTATCTAAGAAGAAAAGTAGCCGTCTGTAATGCGATCTCCAAATGAGCAATCCGTTGTTGTTGTTGTCGTTGTCGTTGTCGATGTCATCGATTCTTTTATTCCATTCTTTTTCATCAATTTTCGATCGATATGGTAAAAATGCAATTTGATATCAGTTCAGCTAGATTTGATAATATCAGAATATCAATTCAAAAAAGTTTCTTTTTATCACTCAATAGCCATTATCCATTATCAATGTGATGAAGAAATATATCAATAATGTTTGATGTGTAATTTAATATTTCACTATTAATTATGATATCATTTATTATCAGTTTTTCAAAATTAAAAATGATGCATAATTAGATTGAATTAAATAATTAACTCTTCTCTTAATGCATTAAAAATTTTAATTCCATTTTTTGAATAGAAATTTCCTGAAATTTTTTTTTTTTTTGCTTAAATCAATAAAATTGTAAGTGGAAAACATAAATTTTGTACGTGCTGAAGTGATGAACAACAATAAATTGAAAAGATTTTTAATCGTTAACTATTTTTTCTTTTTTTTTTTTCCTTGTTGTCTTTTGCGTTAATAATTCATTGCAGTCATCTACTGCATTTCGTTGTCCCATCATATTCATCAAATTTTTTTTGTTTTATTATTTTTTGCTCTAATTTTTTAAAATTAAATTTGAAATTAATTAAGCATTAAACAATATTTGTTAATTTATGAAAGTTTATCTATCAAGTATCTTACTGATATCGGAAGTACAAAAATTTTTTCTATTATTATTTTTTAAAAAAAAATTAGAGCAAAAAAAATATTATGTGTTTATTTAATTTGATTTAAAAAAAAAACTATTAAAACAACAATATCAGTTCAAAAAAACTATGCCATATTATTATCTTAAATATTATGGATTTACTTAATTTAATTTAAAAAAAAAAAAAAAAGATCAGACATTTAAAAAAAAAAAAACTATTAAAACAACAGTATCAGTTCAAAAACTATGCCATATTATTATCTTAAATATTATGGATTTATTTAATTTGATTTAAAAAAAAAAAAAAACTATTAAAACAACAATATCAGTTCAAAAATTATGCTATAAATAAAAAGAATTGCAAATAATAAATTCTGATTTGAATTTTGTGGAAAAATTTAAACATTAAATTTATCAATAAAATCTTAAGCAACTTTTTATCATTGTTATCATTCATTCTTTTCATTTTTTTTTTCTTTCTCCTTTTCATTTTTTTCTTTGCTCAATACTTTAACCATTTAATGATTAAAAGTTTTTTCTTTTTTTTTTTTTTTTTAAAAGATATATTTTCAAAATTATATAATTTCTATCATTTTTCTTCTCATTGATTTACTTCATTCTTTCGTTATACATCCATCCCATTCCACTCAATCTTGAATGCAATATTTTTTTGCCTGCATCCTTTAGCATCATTTTCTCACCATTAATAGCACCCGATTGATTATCACTATCATCCACCAAACACATGCATCTATCTATTTGGTTGAATTAACCAATGAACCATTTTGTATGTCCCAAGAAAAAAAAAAAAAAAAAAAAAACGGTAGAACGGATTTGTATACAGCAAATGGTCGTTGTTCCAATGTCAAGGACGACATCCCTTTGAAATTCCTTCTTCTAATTCATTTTTCCTTTTTTTTTTTTTTTTTTTCTACTTTAAACTTTACACATTTTTGGAAAACTTTAACTTTTCTAAATGAATTACGCAAGTTAAACTTTAATTTCTTCTTAATTTTAAATAATCTGAAACTTCAGATGGAGAAAGATGACAATCAGAATGACAATGATGCAAGATGATAATCTGTTTATGTTTACAAGCGAAATGATCTTCTTCTTCAGGTTTAATCTCTCACTTATTTCTTTCAACTATTCGAGTAATCAGAATTTGATTTTATTTCAACTTATACTTTAATTTAATTGTATTACTCATTTTGTATTCTTCTTCAGGTTTAATCTCTCACTTATTTCTTTCAACTATTCGAGTAATCAGAATTTGATTTTATTTCAACTTATACTTTAATTTAATTGTATTACTCATTTTGTATTCTTCTTCAGGTTTAATCTCTCACTTATTTCTTTCAACTATTCGAGTAATCAGAATTTGATTTTATTTCAACTTATACTTTAATTTAATTGTATTACTCATTTTGTAATACAATAAAAGATGGCTATTTTATTTATCATTTCGTCTGTTTTATCGTTAACCTCATAATATTCAAATAAACAATATAACTTACAATCGTTTATGATCTTAATTGCAGTAATAGATATACAAATATTTATATGTCATCGATCTGATCGTTTCCTAATAGAAAGGTCAAGAATTGTATTTATATTTGTTTTGCATTGATGAGTCTTATATCATAAGTGAATTTAAATAGTTTTTTAAAAAAAGTTCAGTTTGAGAAATTATCCAAAAGAGAAAGTTTCCCTTTTGTGCTTTTTCATTCAATTATATTTGTTAGAATTATTGCTTTTATGTGTCACTTTTTTCCTGCAATGAAAATTCGATTAAAGGCTTAAAAAAAAAAAAAAAAAAAAAAAAGACAGCGCTTAAATGATAGCATAATAGCAAATAATGGAACAATTTTTTTAACTTCAGGAATTTCCTTCCTCAATCCTGTACAGTTTACTATTCCGGAAATAATAGCTACGGTTACTTTCTGTTAATTGATGACTTATATGAAAGACACTATCTTATCATTAACATTCAACTTGTTGCCAAATTGC